GCGCTTTATTGAAATGACTTAACGTTGCGACGGTAGCCCGTCGCTCAGGATTTGCCACTCGGATGTCGGTGGCCGGGTTCGCGTAGAAAAATAAATAGACCTCGGTAAGCCTGAGTAGATAAATTACGTGTATTTATTTAAAGGATATTAACGAAATAACAAAAACAATATAAAATAAAATATGTATGTGAGGGACGTAGTCCCGAACGGTATCTTGATTTTATGCGGCCGGTTTTTATTAATAGTTCGTGACGCTCAGAAGTCCGCGACGCGAAGGTTTTGTATCGCAATACGTGAGGTCACTGTGAAGAAGCCAGGAAGCCCTGGCAGAGACGCGGTAGTCCGCACCCCTATCCCGTGGAGGATCTCTCGTGATCGTTGCGTCGGTACTATTGGTTGGCGGCGTTCTTGTATCGAACAGTGGTGTACAATATAGATTCCGCGGTTCTGACGTGACAACACGGTGACCCACGGTGATCAGCGATGACGAGAAGTCTCGTGAGTTCGGAAATAACGACGGTATTCGTCCAGGAACGAGAAGTTTCGTCTTGACAGATCCCGCGGGGATGGTGCTGTCGGTGACAAGACGCGAGAAGTCTCGCGAATGCGGAGTTGCTAACGAGAAGCCTTGTTTGGTGTTATAAATGTGAGAAGGCTTGCTAGGCGCCTCGTCAACGAGTAGACTCGCTGGCGAAGGGGTACGAGAATGCTCGTGGAGATAAGCTCTGGCAACGAGTATTCTCGCTGACGGTACGATGCGAGTAGGCTCGCGGACGACGAGGAAGCTCGTCTTCGGGGGTGAGAAGTCTCGCAAGCTTTGGTAGTCGGACTGGTAGTCGAAATGACTATCTCGGCGGAATCTGACTTTGTTCGTGCGGTGTCGCGTAATATACCTTAGCGATCTAGGGTCGGGATGCGGTACGTTGCGGAGACGCTCTGTCGCGCAAAGTGGTGGCAGTTTGAAATGGCGCCTGAGCGCCGGTTTCCCGTCCGACTGTTGTTCGGTCGGACGGGTTCGTGATAACTCGATACTGAGCCGTCACAACGTATAATCAGAAATTCTTTGAAATTTTTCTCTTCTAGTACTATCTGAATTCAAGTACTTCTCCCATCGTAATTGTCGTAGTGATGTTACTTTTTTATATCTTCGTTTAACTGATTTCAACAATCTTGATCCTGTTTACCGCTCCTTCAGTATTCCACAGCTTGCCTGTAATAGTCGCTTAAGATTGCTACTTCAACTGAAGTACAAATCACTTTTTTTGGAAGATAATTCTCACCTTCATCATGCTCCAACAGATCAACCGTTTCTGCCAATAGAACCTCAATTGGATCATAAAAATTTAATGTTTGTTCCTCTTCTACTTGAAATTCGTTTTCATCTCTTATTTCTTTAAGCATGTATTCAATCTTCTCCTTCACTTCTACTTCCTCTGAAGTTATCGGACTTTGTGGAAGGTTGAAAGCAGAGAATGTTGCATACAGTAACAGTATAACATTTCATGGATTAAATAACATTATTCTGGAAAAGATTAAAACTAAATATTTGTATCAAACTGTGATTATATACAATGTAAAACATATTATAATTAATCTTATGTTTTCTCATGTTAGTCGCGGATCTCGTTAGCTCACCAAAATGTCGTTTTCTTCTCTTCTCTCTCTTGATATCAAAGATATATAGTAAATGTAAAAAAAATTAATAAATCAAAACGTAATAATAAGTTTGCGTTTTATTTATTACGATAGTAGGGAGAAAATTGTATAAAATTCAGTAATCGGACTCGTTTATTTATCGTGTTTAAAAAATACTAAATAGCTGAAAGAAATACCTGAAGAATGCGAGAGAAGAAACATAAATATTAAAAAGTTGGAGGGGGGACTTATTTTGGGTGATATATGACGAGTGGATCGATCCTTAATAGTTATGCTCCAAATGGGCTTTGGGCTGATTAGTGGCGCGTTTATTGGGCACCTTCACTTTTTCCCTTGGTCTTTTCCTTAATGAACTTGTCGATCGTGTATGAATTAGAAAAGCGTCCACGTAGTATAGAGTCAGGAAAGAAGAAACAGTTTCACCATATGGAAATGACAGTCGGAATGATATCAACTCAAAAAAGATGCGGGTTAAGATTTTTATAGGAAGCGACTAGGTTTGCAAATTTCGGAGATAGCAATTACCGGATTCTTTGGGAATAACGTGCTTCAGGTAGAGGATATCTTGGAATCGAGGAGATTCCGCACTGCGACACTGCTCTATGCATACAGTACTATAAATACTATAAATATGAAATCACTCCATTAAATTATATACATGGACTATAAATAAGTCAGATGTCAATTAATATTCTATATTGCAACAATTCTCTCATAACTATTTATATTCCTCTATTTTCATTACCCCTAGGCTATTTGTGAAGATGTTCAATCTCAGGAACAATAACAAGTTGTTTGAAAGATTAACGCCTATAACCCTGCGTGCTGTGCACATATTACAATAATTTTATTATTATCAATATAATTATCAATTTTATTATTAGTAATATTGTATTATTATCTAATTATGAAAAAATCAGTGATATATTTAGCACTGTTAATCAGTGAATATTCACTGTTTTTCAGTAAAACTCACTCTGATTCAGATTTGGAGAATATAAATGGTGACGACGCGCACACATGTTATTGTCGTTGCAAATTTATATGTGTTCATGTTTTTATTTTGTGTAATACGTTGCATATCATATCATCATGATTAATTAACTTGTATCTAGTAATATGAAAATAGATAGAAGCAGTTATGAAGAAACATAACACAACGTACTTATTTACAATATTTATCTACTTGGACAATTTATTTACTTGTGTGACATCTATAGCACGATGTTATCACGTTGTTTCTCAACGATTTAAGCGAGACCAACTTTTACTATTTTATATGAAGGGAAACGGTATTAAATGCTCTACAATTTTTGTCCTTAAAAAACTTAAAAATTTTTCGAAGGTAACGAGTGAAGGGGGAAGGAAGATAAAAATTTAACATTTCAAACAAATGAAGTACACTGTTACAAAGAATATTGAATACTATAAAACTTTTGTAGGAAACATTTTTTCATATACTTCATGCCTTAGGAATTATTCTATAAAAATGAAAAAGTTCAACCCCTAAACTTTGAGATAAACCGATGTAAAAAAAGATAGGTCTCTTATTTTTTTATGCTCTACCACGTATCCAAAGCGTATCAAAATCGGTGAGGGGCAGTTCTGTTAGGAGTCTTGTTAGTGTTTTTGGTAGTAGTTATCCGTGCCTGGCGCCCAATATTTTGGTTAGCTAAAGAAATCCGCGAGTCCGCAGGCGGTACAAGAACACCACTCACAAGGGAACTAACAGAACTGTCCCTCACCAATTTTGATGCGCTTTCGATATGTTGTAGAACATCAAAAAGTATTCGACACGTATTAATACTTCAATGGCGTGATGCGTATAGCACGATATTATCATGTTTTCTAACAATTTAATCGAGACTACCTTCTAATATTATATATGGATCGATTTGGCATGAAATTCTCTACAATTTTTGTTCTTACAAAAACTTACAAATTTTGCAAAGGTAACGAGTTGGGGAGGGGGAGGGATTTGACGTTTTTGAAAAGATTAAATATACCATTGCAAAGAGTATTAAATACTGTACAACTTTTGTAGGAAACATTTTTTCATATACCTTGTATTTTAGGAAATATTCAATAAAAATGAAAAAGTCCTTTTTTTCAAGGGAAAAAAGTCAACTCCTAAACTAAACATTCAGCCGATAAAAAAAAATACGTGTCAAATACTTTTTGATGCTTTACAATATATCTAAAGCGCATCAAAATCGGTGAGGGACAGTTCTGTTAGTTCCCTTGTCAGTGAATCGACTGTACAGAGAAGGACTTCATAGTATAAATCAGCATTTATATGTTTAGATAAATATTAAATATTGAATTTTTAAGCCTGCAGAACGATTAAATATTTATTTGAATGTATATGCTCATTTATATAATTACAAATCTATTTCTTTCATTTTTAATCATATCTTACGATTAATCGTTTCTAAATGATTAAATGTATATTGAACATAAGAACCATAGAAGAATGAGGGCGTACTAGGTGGCGGCGGGACGCCGTGCGTTCGAGATATGCGTATCTTTTCGTTCCACAGAGAATAAAATATCGAAAGCGCGATTTTGCTAGGTCGGGACTCGAACCCAGGTCTTTCGCTTGCCGGGCGACTGCTCTAAATCACTGAGCTACCTGACGCTCCACGCTCACGACACTCTCTTCTCCCTAGATAACCCTCAGAGATGCCGTTCGGAAACGACATCTCTGGCGCGATTCCGAACGCACGGCGACTACAGAGAGAAACAATTGTACCAAATGGTACAGCTGTCAGTCTCTCAAAGTCAAAGGTTGCTATCGTTTAAAACCTGCTCTTTATGCCCGTCTACACTATTGCCCCTCCTCATCCGGTGCAAATAATACAAATAATACAAATAAGCCCCGGGGTCGACACCAATTTTTTTGGCAGCCCCCAGATGCTTGGACGCAATGCGTCATGGGAGATCCACCATAGAAGGAGGAGGGAGTACTAGATGGCGGCGGGACGCCGTGCGTTCGAGATCTGCGTATCTTTTCATTCCAGAGAGAGGAAAATATCGAGAGTGCGGTTTTGCTAGGCCGGGACTCGAATCCGGGTTTTTCGCTGAACATGTATGCTTTCCAAGTTGAAACAATAGCCTATGAGAGATAAATTTGAATAAGAAATGTTTCTAATGTATCAAATAACAGACTTAATATTTAGGAACCGAGAACTCTATTTGTTTATATCGATTGTTTGTATAACGTAACTCTATCAGATTTTTTAAACAGGGATGTTAAGTCATTACGCTTATACCAAAATTAAAGTTATTAATATATTCATAACGACATCAGAGATTAGCTGAGAAACACTAGCGTGTGTTTACAGATTCGAAGTGGTCGCTCATTATTTAGGGTTAACTCGAGAATATAATCCTATGTCTGGTAAGAAAATCCATTGGCCGGGAGGAAAGGAAGGACCCCCGCTAGATATTCCAGAGTGCGGCTTTTTAGGGAACGATCCCGCTTGCACATCAAGGACGGAGGCTTATACGTTTGTAGCTTACACGAGTGTGGCACTCGCTGTATTCTTACTCGTTGCGATTACAGCAGCGTGTCTTCTATACAGGTACATTTTGCGAAATTTTCAACACAATTTTCATGGATAACACAAGTTTGTTACTCCTGAAGTATGGAATATAATATTATTAATTAGCACAAAATAAAATCTTTTAATATAGGCATTTGAGGTTATCTGCCGATCTCAATAATATGTCTTGGCGTATAAGACCTGAAGAATTGCTTCTTGAAGTAGGCAAGCAGTTTTCATCTAAGATAAATTTACATCAAGCGATATCTGATACAAATGTGAGTATATTCGGAGGGTAAGAGGAGTTACTTTAAAAAACTTTCTAAAAAAACTTTTTGCAAAAGTTTTTTAAATAAAGTAACTCGTTGTACCGTTAGTCGTTACTAATCGACAAAAATACTCATTACTAGATTTACTTTCTATTGTTGAACCAGTTCATTATAGTTTGCATTAGTTTTCTTTCCCTCTCTTTTTCAGGTATAGTATTACAAATAACGCGTTACTTCTCAACCAAATTAGCGTATAGTCGACTGATTAAAGGAGGATTAAATGTCAATAAGGTCGTTTTTTGGGTCATGTTAGAAGCACTTCAAACTGTGCTGTTTTATTCCTCTTAATGGAATTCACTATCCACTGAAACCATTTGTTGTCTAAATAATTAGAATGAGGCATTTTTAGATCTCAGATTTACATGGAATATCACGCATAGTTTACATGGTCTGTCTCTTTTTATTCTATTATTAATGAGCCTTTATCACCATACTTCCTCAAAATTATATATAGTACTTGTATATAGTACTTAAAATATATCAAAGCGGTTATTACACCTTTTGTCATCGCATTGGAATCGAGCTTTGTTTTGTGGAAAGATGTGAACTACATATTTTATGAGATCACACCGTGCTTTCGCATTTATTGGGTAGAATAGTTGGACTCGTGTTTGTTTGATACAATGTTCCGTCCTTTAGTTATATGTACATTTGTTAATATGTCAGTATTTAAATGTTCGTAATATTCTGTAATGTCAGCCTTTTTGTTCTTCTCCTCGCTGCTGCGTTCAATCTAGGAAACTTGAGGTTCTCTAGCTTATTCTTCTTCATCGTAGTACGTCCCGCAGTCCTTGTGGTTTGAGTGCCCTGAGTGATTGTCGACACTTTTTCGAACCTGGGTGACAAAGGTCTCCTAACTCTTGAGTCCGCTCTGGAGGGCTGAGAGAGTGGAGGCCTTGTCGTGCATGGCAGTATGCTTTCCAAGGGCCTGAATACCCACTGCTGGAATTGGGCGCCATACGTTGCTAAATCTGCCCAACCAACTGGCGAGGGGCTTAGCTCTCTTGTGAGTGACGGTGTCCGAGGACGTGGAGAAGATCTTGGTGGTGAGGGACTCCGTGGTGTCGTGTCTGTAGGGCGTAACTGCTCCGGGAAATCCGAGCCAAAAAGCTCCCGGGAGCAGTCTTTCCCTTTTCCGATTTCTCCAGATTGCGTGTCTCGTGGTAGCAGTTAGATGACTTTCAGCGCAAACGCTTATTCAGCGTGGAACGCTTGTGCAACGCAGAACGCTTATTCAGCGCAAAATACTTATTCAGCGTGAACGCTTATGTAGCGCTATTAGCAAAAATCTCTTTCCTCAAATGGGGCCTAGAATGCTCGTAAACGAATGCTGTATGTCCGGTTACTCGATCTTATATAGGGTGACAGCTGAGATTTGACTTCGAGAATCGGGAAGCCCTTGTACTCCGCTTGGAGACGCGCTTAGAAAGTTCTGCGCGTGGCCCAAGCCACCGCGCTGTTGTGCGGTCTACGCTACGCGTAACCTGTGCCGCCTTTCGCTCCGTGAAAATGCTTAAGAACTATCGCTCTGAGTCATGACAACGCCTGGGAGCAGTCGTCCTTAATTTGTATAATCGTATGATTTGTATTTTTGAATGTAATTATTTCGTATTTGTGCGTATTCGTCACATACATGTGTGCGTGTATCGCGGACGTACGCGGTTGTGCACAACCTCCAATCTCTCGACCAAGCTTCGTATTAATCGATATATTTTATTTTCACTAAATATGTAAGTAATAACGTTGTTTATAAGTAATTGGACGATAAAACCGTGGTTTAAAGTAAATTTAGAAAATTCTGGAAATTATTAATTGTGATAAATACTGGAAAGAAGCTATTTCTTACCTGCTATACACTTGTGAAACTTTAAAAAACCGGCAGCTTTTTAATCCTTCGTATACATACTGGTTACCACCCATAACTAAAATTCAGCGCTCTGTACCATTTAAGTACCGTAATAACAAAAATCAATAAACTTCATTTTTATACAAAAAAATGCATTTTTTTATACCAAAATAATGGAAATTTGATACTCAAAATAAATGTACTTTTTCCAGAGATGACTTACGAGACCATTTTTTCCTTAAAGATAAATATTTCAACAATAAAATGCTAAATTTTTACTTAAAAATAATAAAAATTATAAAAGTTACAAATTTCTTTGCAAAAACTCACTTTTTTATATGGCGAAATGTAATAATTTTATTTAATATAAAATTTCTTAAATTTTAATACCAAAGGTATGTAAATACCTTCTATAAACATTAAAGTTAATCCATGAATTTTTTTTCAGAATTTTAACATAAATATTTTAAAAGATACAGCTGTTAAAAATTGCCATGGGTGGCAACCCAGTGTGTACGCGAAGGTTGAAAAAATAAGTGTATATACGAAGTGTTAAATCTGCCAGTTCTATTTGATCTAATTGATCTAGGGATGTTCCGATTCGTATCGATATTTTAAAATATCGATATAAGGATATTTGATATTTGATATTTTGAATCGATACTTTGAATTTCAATATCGTTGCGTATTGATAAAAAAACTTAGATAGAAATTGATTTGATAGCTAGAATGGTGTTAAAAGAAAAAAATCACAGGATTATCTAAGATTCTAAATTATTTAATTTCTATTGCCACAATGAAAATGAAGGACTCTGATTGGTCAATTTTCTTATGCGTTGTGCATTATGACTTTATGCAACAGTGCTTTTCGCTTTAACCTATGTTGTAATCCATAAGAAATAGACCAATCGCAGTTGAATATTTTTCTAAAAATCAACTGCAATTGGTCAATTTCTTATGGATTACATCATAAATTAACGGTTATGGTTATCATAAATCGGCCTTTAAAATGCCTTTATATGGGAACATCGAGCGTTAAAGCGGTGGCCAATCAACATGCCACTTTTCGCAAGAACAATTAGGTGCGCAACTAAGTTCCCGCTGTTTGTCAATAGATGGCTCCAGCAGTAAGTGCTGGTCGATTTTGACATATCCAAAATGTCATGAACCAAGCTTAGACATATGGTAAACAAACCGCTTACACGTTAGTGATTTTGTTTTGGCGTCATATACTTTTGGTTGTGTGAAAATGTCTGATTTTGTGCCAAATAATCGTCATTTGTGGGAAGTGTTGATTTTCTTATTTCATTCGAAGAAAATGGCGGCTGAAGCGCATCGAGAGCTCCAAAAAGTTTACGGAGATGCTGCTCTAAGTGAAACAACGTGCCGTGATTGGTTTCGTCGCTTCAAAGACGGTGATTTCGATGTTGACGACCGTCCAAGTAAAGGAAGGCCAAAAACCTTCGAAGACACTGAATTGGAGACATTGCTCGATGAGGATCCGTGCCAAACGCAAGAACAGCTTGCTTCAGCATTAGGAGTTACCCGCCAAGCCATTTCCAAGCGATTGCATGCGTTGGGAATGATTCAAAAGCAAGGAACTTGGGTTCCTTATGATTTTAACGTCCAAGGGTCGTTGAGCGTCGTTTTTTCGCCTGTGAACAACTGCTCCAGCATCAAAAAAGGAAGGGTTTTCTTCATCGCATCGTGACGGGTGAAGAAAAATGGATTCATTACAGCAACCCAAAGAAAAGAAAGTCATGGGGACTGCCCGGTCATGCTTCTACGTCGTCGGCTCGGCCGAATATTCACGCTGCGAAGGTTATGCTGTGTATTTGGTGGGACCAGGTCGGTGTTATTTATTATGAGCTGTTGAAACCGAACGAAACCATCACTGGGGAACGGTATCGAATTCAATTGATGCGATTGAGCCGAGCACTGCGCGAAAAACGGCCACAATACGAGCAGAGGCACGAAAAAGTGATTCTACTGCATGACAACGCTCGGCCTCATGTTGCCAAACCCGTTAAAACCTACTTGGAAACGCTCAAATGGGAAGTCCTACCCCACCCGCCATATTCCCCAGATATTGCGCCGTCCGATTATTACTTGTTCCGTTCGATGGCACATGGTCTGGCTGATCAGCAGTTCCGCTCATATGAAGACATCAAAAAATGGCATGATTCGTGGATAGCCTCACAAGACAAACGCTTTTACCGTAACGGTATTCGAGCTCTGCCA